TGAGGTGGGGTGCGGTGCGGTGATTTTATTATATTACAGTTAAATATTTAATTTAATATAATAATTATGAAATGTAATTAATTAACTTAAGAAAAACCTGATTTTTGTAATTTTAAACTGTTGGGCCTGATTTTTAATTTTGGAATAGTAAACACCTGACCCATAAACTTTTCCCCTGGAAATAGAAAGGCCAGTGCTGAATAAATCCAAAAATGGGTATGACCCACCAAATTTGCCCCAACAAACCACCACATACAACACATTATTGTAGAGGTTAATAAACTCGAGGATTGAAGGAAACACGACCAAAGGATTGGATAAAAACTACAAAAAGTTTACCAACAAGACCTTTAAAGCCAATGGACCACTTATAGTAGACCAAGTAACTCAAAAGCAGTAGTCAAATAAATAACTCCTAAATCAAAGAGATGTTGTGAAGGGGTTAGCATCTAATTTGAGTCACCTTGGACCAGACTCTTGACCCTTTCAGTTAGATGTCAAAAAAACATAAATGGTGAGGATTAGCTGTTGGATCAAAGACATTCATTGATTCCATGAAGGGTCCCATGGAAGAAAAGAACCAGTTATACAGCAGACAAAATTTCTGTGGTCTATAAAGGAAGATACACTTTCAAGATTCAACAAAAAATTAGGCTTTGAGAAAAATCAGAACCAAATTCCAAGCCAACTTCTTCTGTGGCTCCCAATATCCCTATCCAGAGGCTATAAATTGCACCAAACTATAGAAATCCCGTGAATTAATCTTTGAAATATGGGATTAATTCCGTATAATTGTAAAACCTTATTTAGATTAGGAAAATTTCCTTTTTCCATGTTTAAATAGTTACCTTATTTAGTTCCTGTTTGTATTCTATATATTGTGATTTATAAAGATTAATACATATGAATAAAGAAAACCTTCATTCTCCCTGTGTTCCAATTTACGTGGTATCAGAGTTAAGTCGTTTATGACCTAGCCGTCAATTGCCAATGGAATAACAAACAGAAAACAACAATCAGTTGAAGACACCCGAGCCTCAAATGAGTGAGGTAGAATCCCTCTAGTCCATGGGCTCATGTGGAATGGACAACACATCATTCTAGTGAAACGTGGAGAAATTGAACGGGAAAAATTATCGAGAATGGGCTCAATCAATTAAGCTCATTCTCGACGGGAAAGGAAAACTATGGTATAATACCCGAGAGAAGCAGCAACCTGCCAACCTGCCTCAACCGACGCCGCCCTTCTGCAGAAATGGAGGTCGAAAAATTCGATGGTAACTGCGCGGTTGATTAACTCCAAGAAACGTACAATTACGAAAACATACCTATTCTTTCCAACAGCAAAAGACACGTGGGATGCTGTTTGTGATATGTACTCTGACAGAAGATTTTTCCAAAATATTCGACATCAAAACCAAACTATGGCAAACAAGATAGAGGGACCATGATGTGACAAAATACTACCTAGAGATGAGTTCATTATGGCAAGAACTCGATCAAACAAGGATGAAAAGTGGGATTGTTCGATCGACAGCGTGTGATACAAAAAGAAACTAGAAAACGAGAGAGTATATGAGTTCCTAGCCGGACTGAATCAAAACTTGGATGATGTGAGAGGGAGAATTCTGATCCGTCAACCGCTGCCATCATCTGAGAGGTCTTTGCAGAAGTGCGCATGGAGGAAAATCATCGGAAGATTATGCTTATAGGGAAGAACGACGAGATGGCGGAAGAAGAAAGTGGATCGACCTTAATTTCTAAAGGGATTGGGCATAATGGGTTGGCCCAAGTGCTGAAAAAATCTGGGTCCATTCAGATGTATAGAGGACCAAGTATATAAATTATGTGCTAATTACCCAATTCCCTACTTTT